TTTAGGTTATATATATATATATATATATATATATATAATTATCCCATAAAAAAAAAACTCAAAATCATATCCAGAATGAAATGGCTAGAAGGCTACTTCTTCCTGCACGATAAACATGTGCTCTTTATTGCGAAGTCCCCGCGTACTTCCCTCGCTCCGTAACTTCCCCCCATCACTGCTTAATACTCATCACCACGCTTTCCGCACACAACTTCTCCTTCTCCATATAAGCCCTTGCCCCCACTCTCTCATCCCACATCCCCCATGGCCATAGAAGCACAACAAACTTCGCCCCACTCCCAGCTACCCATGGAGGGCTTCCGTGGTTCCCAATCGGAGGAGGAATACCTCGCTCTATGCCTTCTCTCACTCGCCCGTCACGCATCCCCTGCTTTCTCTCATACCCCGCCCCCAACTCTCGATCACAAGTGCTCCCTTTGTGCTAAAGCTTTCGCGTCCTACCAAGCCCTGGGCGGCCACATGACCAGCCACCGGAAACCGATCGGCGACAATCGGCTCTTCTCCGGATCGCAGCCCGCTGCATCGTCGTCTTCTGATGGTGCCAAGGGGCATCAATGTCTGATCTGTTGGAAAACATTCGCGACCGGACAGGCGCTTGGCGGGCACAAGCGTCGCCACTTTGACGGCACGATTGGAAGCGCGGTCGGCAAGGGATCGGCGGCGACGAGCGGTGTGTTTCGTGGATTTGATTTGAATTTGCCGCCGGTGATGGAGTTGGGGAGGCAGTGTTGGGGTTTAGAGGATGAGGAGGCGGTGCAGAGCCCTAATCCGGTTAAAAGGCCCCGCCTTTCTATTATTGCTTAGGTCTCAATTCTCTCTTCTTTCATGCTTCAATATGTGTACAAGTATTCTTTGATTTGTTGATTTGTGTTGTGTTGTTTTTACTTTTATTTGTAATGTACATAAGATATATGTTATAATACATTTAATTTGATTTATAAAAATGTGAGTTTGAGGATATGAGAAGGGAAAAGAGAAAGGAAAATGAGTCCTGCATGCGTATCGTAACCCTCCTATTTATAAAATATAAGAGGAACAAAGTACAAAATTACATTATTTGTCTTGCTTTAAAGAGATGAGCAAAGGACATTTTAATTCACTTATTTTGGACCATCGGATTATCTCGAGTTCCGTGTAAACTATTTTTGGGTGTACAATATAAATATGAAAAAACTTAAATATTACATTTATAAAGTCATAAAAATGGTAATGATACGAATTTGAATCTACGAGTATATAAAAAAAGGGTGATTACATAGCGGTCAGCCATAACATTTCGATTTACAAATTAAGCTTGCCTTTTCATTCATTTTTTCTTCAAATTTTTACTCGAATATTAAAGTTTACAATAAAATCTCAACCCATATTTTTCATTTTTATCAAATTCACGATGATTTAATCTTGAAATACATGAATATATTAAGACACTTAATTTGTGAATAATAATATTTCTTATGATAGATATATATAATTATACCATACAAAAATTCAAAATCATATCCACTGAAATTGGAAAAATTATTGCATGCGGACATCGCGGATGCATGCGGTGTCCGATCTACACGGTGATCTACGGTGAAAATGTATTTCGATGGGCCCCACTTTTAAGTTTTTTTATTCTTTATTTTAAAAAATTTTGATTGCATGCTCACTAGATCTGACATCACATACATCTCTGCATGAAGTGTCCGTATGCAATAATTTTTTCTAAAATTGACTGAAAGTTTACTTACAAAACTCGCTCAACAATAAACACGTTGCCTAAAACTCACATTTTTATAAATCAAATTAAAAGTATAATAACATATATCTTATGTACATTAAAAGTTAAAATAAAAACAACACAACACAAAACAACAAATCAATGAAAGCTTCTGCACAGTTTTGAAGCCCATAGAGGGCTAAGCAGTAATAAGAAGGCGAGGTCTCTTCACCGAATTAGGGCTCTGCTCCTTGTCCTCATCTTCTAAACCCCAACATTGCCTCTCCAAATCCATGACCGGCGGCAGATTCAAATCAAATCCACGAAACCTTCCGCTCGCCGCCGCTGATCCCTTACCGACCGCGCTTCCAATCGTGCCATCAAAGTGGCGACGCTTGTGCCCGCCAAGCGCCTGTCCGGTCGCGAATGTTTTCCAACAGATCAGACATTGATGCCCCTTGGCACCATCAGAAGACGACGATGCAGCGGGCTGCGATCCGGAGAAGAGCCGATTGTCGCCGATCGGTTTCCGGTGGCTGGTCATGTGGCCGCCCAGGGCTTGGTAGGACGCGAAAGCTTTAGCACAAAGGGAGCACTTGTGATCGAGAGTTGGGGGCGGGGTATGAGAGAAAGCAGGGGATCCGTGACGGGCGAGCGAGAGAAGGCATAGAGCGAGGTATTCCTCCTCCGATTGGGAACCACCGAAGCCCTCCATTGGTGGTAGCTGGGAGTGGTGGGAGATCGGATCTGCAGCCGGCGAGGTTTGCTGTGTGTCTATGGCCATGAGGGATGTGGAATGAGGGAGAGAGAGAGGGGGATAGGGCTTATATAGAGAAGGAGAAGTTGTGTGCGGAAAGCGTGGCGGTGAGATTATTAAAGCGGTGATGGGGGAGAAGTTACGAGCGAAGCTGCGGGGGAAGTTAAAAGACGGCAAGAACGCACGTGTTTATCGTGCATTGTAATGCCTGCTGATTTCGGTGGATTGTTCTGAATATATACATAGTAGATGTCCAATTCAGAACACTGGTCGGTCCCAGTTTGTTTGCCTGAAAAAACAAGAACAAAGATTGGAAGCACAGATTCTTCATGGCCCCGTCTACTAAGGGTTAGAGCATTAGGATAGTTCCATCTAGATACCTTTTGTAGAAGTGGAAGGGCACCAATGGCCGAAGTTAGGGTGGATGAGGTCGATCAGGGCTGAAGGGAGATTAACTGAGGTGATGAAAGGAAAAATCAGCCCAATATGTGAGGACTTCCTCCTTTCTATTTTGCAATCATGGTTGTGATTCAGCAGATTTGACTGGGGAATTGGCTAGTATTGCTAGGAAATGTAAGGCCTACATTAACGGTGGAGGGAGAGCTTTTCTCTGATTTTGAATTATTTTCACTCACGCAGTAAGAAAATCGTAATCAGAAAAGATGAGTTCTTTGCATCGCTCACATATTCGGATTGGTAGTCTGACGTTGATTGATCAGTTCATCCGATTGGGTTTGGTTGATCCAAAATATGCCATCTTAAAGAGTTTGTGAGCTTCTACTCCAGTTCCAAAGGATCATCCCATGATGATTCAGGCACTGAAAACAGTCTAATTATTAGGTGCAGAGGGCGCACGCAGAGCTACGCACACGCGCGAGCCCTCCGATCACAGCCGCACAGTGTGACAGTGTCCCACTGTCATACAGCCGCGATGTGCGGTTGTGATCGGAGGGCGCGCGCAGCTCTGCGTGCGCCCTTTGCACGCAACAATCGCTCCTGAAAATAAATTTAAATCTTATAGTCGGTTTCCTGAAGCTTTAGTTTTCTATTTTTTTTTATAAAATATATTTTTTTTGTTAACATTTTGCATAGAAAATTTTTTATAAACATAGAAGTTCGATAAATATGAAAATTATATATTTTCTTTTGTAATGAAACGAGACCTCTTAGTTCTTTTTCTTGTACCTTTTGATTTTTACCTTTACAGTACCTTTGCAAACATACCTTTGCATTGTTTGCACTGTAGTACATTTGTTGAGTGATCGAGGCTTCATAAGACTTTGTAGCCTTTGGGTTGTTGCGAATCGACTTAAGGCTTACCTTGCCAATCTCATTTTACTTTTTGCTCGGATTCATCTCTTGGTCCTTCGTCAGGCGTTAGGTGAGTCTCATCACCGCCTTAACGAAGGTCGCCGCCCGATACTTACATGAGCAATTTTCGTCGCACCTTTCATTGAGCTCTTCATTACTGGGCAGGGAATTGCCTTTAGGGTTGTTTTTCGAGTTGAGTTTTCAGGATCAATTTTTTTCCACAACTTTTATGCTTTTGACCAACTAGAGAATCATGACTTCACGGTTGGTTAATTTCATTTTTGGGCCTAACCGAGCGATTGGCGCTGCAGCTGGCTAACTTGTCATTTAAACTTAATTGGGTGATTGTGAAGTCGTGGCTAGCCAACTTCCTTTGAACTCAACAAGGCGTTCGTGGCGTTGCGGCTGATCTATTTTGTTTGAACTCAGAAGAGCAATCTTAGTGCAGCAGCTCATCAATGTTGTTTGAATTCAGCCGGGCAATTGTCCTTATGAACCCAAAATTTGAAAGGCGACTGTCCTCATGAATTTGGCCGGCCAAATTTGATCTATTTTGTTGAAATTTGGCCAGGCGATTGTCCATGATCGATCTTCTTCAGTAACTTTTATGCTTTTGACTGACTGGAGAACAATGTGGTGTCACGAACTTATGCATGAGAGGGTGCACTTCACTTCTAATGGTTACAAGCAACGATATATGTCATTTTTAAAGATTGGAGGGGTGCTTATATAAATATGAAGGTTTAGGAGTGAGGCATGCAAACACTTAAGAGTTGCGTGGTGTATTGTGTGAATCAGCTCAAATCTACACCAAGAACTACGTGGATAACGAAGCATGAATTTGATTTGTGGAATTGAAATATTTACTATCTAGCACACAATTCTTATGTATTTATATACATCACCCCTAAACTTTCACACTTACAAATGTGCCGCTATGTGTGTAAATATCAAACTTCAGGTGTTAGATATGTAAAAACATAAGAATTATGTGCTATGTGTGCAAATTTCCCAAAGTAATAACAATATTTTTTAGGAGTGGATTTCTCGAGCTAACTCGAGACTGACACTTAATATATTTTCTTAAAATTTATAGAAACTCTATATATAATGCCCAGTAAAATTGAATATAAGGATCCATGAGAGAAATTTAAGACGATTTCAAGGTGGAATGGATCCAAATAATTCAATTTGAGCCAATTAGTTTCACCTTTGAGTCATATCGAGCTAATTCTAAGCTGAAACAAAACCAAATTTCTCAATTTGAGTCAGCTCATTTCAATTTCAAGCCAATCTGCTCGGCTTAAAATTGAATAAAACGAACCACGAGCCGATTTCAAACCGACCTCAACTAAACTCAGAACTCTGATCATTAAACAGGCACTCACCAGCACAAGCATATTAACTAAAACAGGAATATTATCTCAAGAGTAAAAAGTACTAACAGTATATGCATCACTTAAACAAGAAAAGTGCAGATGAAATATCATCATCCCCCCTATGCAATATGTTCAAATTCAGTATGCATGGATGTAAACTTCTTACCTAATATTTTCTCTAACTTCAAACACATCAACACACAAGATCTAGAAAAAACCTATGAACAAAGACTAACAACCAAAAACAGAACAAATCTGAAAGATTTTCAGCACAGAACTGAATCAGAATGCTGGTAGCCTTCTTCTTCTTCCTCCTCCTGGTTTGCTTGAATCCACAGGAAGATCTCCAGGCTCTATTACTTGTATCATCCGCCTCTTCTTCGCGATTTCCGCTCTCTGGTATCCATCATGAAGCTTCTTCTTCGCAATCTCCAACCTCGACATATCTTCAACTTCCTCCACCTGCTTTCTCTTTGCTCCAGAAGAAGAATGGCTACCTGCCTTTTCTTCAGAAATTGGCACCGTGGATTCAGCTGTGGATTTAACCCATTGATCCACCAAAAGCTTCCATCCATTAACGAGATTCAGAACAAGGTTTCGAATATGAACAGAGCTATGTTTGCGCAGAGCATTCACCATTCTTCCAATTTCAGTCCTTTTCAGAGTTTCGACAGACATTTCCATGAGTTGCAGAGTCTTCAGAGCTTCATACAAGACTTCATCAGAACCAGAGCCGCTGCAAAGAACCTGCTTTATCCTCATCACCTCTTTATCTATCTGAATCTCTTGGGGATTCTCACAATTATAGCCATTTTTCTCCTCCACCTCCTTCCTGGGATCATCATCGCCATTGTTGGAATTCTGGAGCTTCTCTGCAATCATATCTTTCTTCTCCTTAAACTCATTCGGGCGATCCACCGCTGCCAAGACGATGGCTTTCTCGATCAACTCAAAAATGTCAGTTTTTGCGCTGCCGAAGAACTTTCTCCAGTAATCCAGCGACCTCTTTGCGTCCGCCATTGTTGTCCCTGCAAGCTCGGACTGCTTCGCTGATCAGAAGGAGAAGAAACACAGAGCGATCACCGTTTCCTTCGTGTTAGTTATCTGCAGCCGAACGAAAAAATCTGATAAAAGTGTTAACTTTTCAATATTGGAACCTATAAATCCGCAGTTTTTAATGGAAAGAGGAGGACGTGCATTAACGGCTTTCTTAAAATAGATCTCAAATTTTATTATTTAAAAATATTAATTAAATTTTAATTTATTTGATTTTTTTTCAAAATGTGGATTCAAAAAGTATAAAAGGATATTGATTAATATTTATTTATATCATTTTTGATAATTTAATCTACATGAAGTCTGCATTAAAAAATTTTGAACTTTTAAATTTAATTAAAATTTTTTAAATCATTTTACTATGTCTCTTTCGGAGAGTGAAGAAGCTTTACGGTCTGTTTGAGGTAATTTGTGTGTTTCATGATAAACAGTTTATCCTATAACGCGGCCCGCGAGGCTCTACCCGTGGCCTGTGTTTAGTGTAAAAACCCCAAACGCAGCAGATACCGTTTTTAAAAATGCGCAAACCAAATTGTTAGGTGGCGTTTTCAAAAACTTCACCGCACTTATAAACTGCCCCAAACGAGCCCTTAATAAATGTACATTTATAAGTCAATCATAAGAATTTCCTGAGAAAAGATAGAAAAATCTAAGAGATTCCTTAATGGTAAAGATTTCGATTAAGTCGTTGGCTTCTAATAGTAATGAACAAAGGGACAGTTCCTTCAAGAAGTATCATATCGCTTTTGACATTTATCTCGAGCAAGATCATGGATGTTTGTGCCTTCCCAACTTTAAAACGCTCTATCACTAGTATTGTAAATGAGTCGAGCTCGTGCAAGCCTATGGGTTGTTTGTGTTTGACTAATATAAATGATATAGGATTAAGTAGGATGAAGTTCATATTCTGCTTGAATTTTAGCTTTTAACTAAAATTTTAAAAGTTTAATTCTTTATTATTAATATTTTCAATTGAATTAAAAATAGATTACATCTAACTTTTCTTTTTACATTTTTATAAACAAAATTTTTTATATCATTATATTATTTTCTTACATTATTTAATTATTATTTGATTAAATCAAGTCAAAATGAGTTGAACACGATTGAATAAAAACTTGTTCATGTTGGGCTTGTGTATAAATCCAACTAAAAAATTTTTTTCGAGCTCGACTTCTTTGTTTATCGAACGAATCAAATATGAGCATTTTAGTAAGTCGAGCACGAATTATTCTTGAATGACGAGCTTTTTTGACACCCCTACCTATCACAAGTTTAAGGGTATGTTTGGGGCAATTGCAGCATATTAAAAAACTGTTGTGCAGCAGCTCTGTCAGGAAGTCAGCTGCTGGCACAACTGCTGCAGGGAAGCTAGATGTTTGTATGTTTTTGTGAAGTTTTGCAACAGTTATGCTGCAACTATTTATGAACAAATGATATTTCTGCTCCTGTAGTATAATATTGTTTATAAAAAAATCAGTCTTAATTGCAGATAAGATGAAATGCTGCACGATTATAACTTAGAAATTGAATTACTTCATGTTAAGTGATAGATTTTATAGGACCCTTTATTAATTTATCAGAAAATCAATTTATTTTAGTTGCAGCAGATCATGTATCAAAATAGATTGACACTATTTTTTCTCGAAAAAATGATACTAATTATTCTAAAATTAAATGAATTAAATGAAATTAGAGTTGAAGTATATGAGATTGTAAGAATTTATAAGGAAAATTATATGCTATTAGCATGATTTATTCTTGATAAGAAATCTGAAAGAGTTTATGGGGATTAATTAGAATAATATAAATAATTTAATCATATAAATAATTTTCAAAACCAATTTTCTTTAATAAAACATTTTCTTGTGAGAATTAGAAAGCGATTACTTTCCATTAGCAACAAAACTTGCTGCTTCATCTAACCATTCATCCACTGCAGTGTGCATCTAAATGACCATCCTTATATTAGGGCTTAGTGTGCAATCTTGCCACTGGGACGAGCCGTCTTCATTGTTTAGCTCACGGGTTATACATATCAAGGTCTATTATCTTGTTGGATCATAGTCTCGGTTGGTTCCCACAATTCACCAGGTATTATACGGATCTTTTCGCTACTATTGTGGGGGAAGCTGCTGGATTTGTCACTTGAGTGATTTACATCGTACTCTTCGTTGAGTTTGTTGCTACTAGGTAGGGAACCTCCTCCATGATTGTTTCCGACTAGAGCTTTAGAAGCATGAATTTTTGATAAGGTTGTGCAGTAACATACTTATACTATCATATCACTTAGGGTTGCCACCGACGCTATTCCCCGGACTTAAGTTCCCCATGTGTCAATTTGACTTGGGAAAAGTGTTAGAGAGATTCATGTTGAAGGAAGAAACAAACCTTTCATTTGCATGGTAGGGTTTCAACTACCATGAATCATTCGGGCAACGAGCGGGTTTTCCAATGGCATGATGATACACTCAGTCAGTTATTTAAACTGTCAGGAATCAACCGTTCTTTTTGTGGCGTTCTTCTCGTACTCACGAGCTTCCTGAGAAATGAAGGAAACGACGCTCAAAGTTTCAGATCATTTGAGTAAGGGAGGTTCTCACCACCTTTCGTGTAAGGAGTGTCTTTGAGATTTATTTCTCTTCGTTGGTATCACTTCCCTTCTTATTAATAGGATGATTCACGCTGACCGCACCTTTTAGGATGTTAAATCTAGATCTTTCATGCGAGTCATATCTAAGAATAAAAGTGATAGGAACCATAGAGGAGAGAGAGAAAGATAGATAGAGAGAGAGAGATGAGAGAAAAAACACACACAAACTTGCCCCATCGAGGCGAATTGGGGTGTTCCTAGGCTCTAGGACCCATTTTATATATTAAAAAAAGAGATTACAGAGATGAGAAGGAAGGAGGGGGAGGAGCTCCTTCTAAAGTATGAGTCTATCTTCGAGAGCCAAAAAGCCTCGTTACAAGCATTGGACCCTCTATTTATAGAAGATAGCGGACCACTAAGATAAAAATTATATTTCTACCCCTACTTTAAATATTTTAGTTTTTTTCATATTTAGTAACCGCTTTTAGCATGCTTTGATGTTTCTAGATTCTACGTCCGACATATTTCTCCTTCAGAAGATTAAGATGTCGTCGGTCGATCATTCTGTCTAAATGCCAAAAACCTTTGTATTTTTTGTAGTTGTTTGGGTTTGAATGTTGTGGGCCGTCGGGAATGGATGACCAGTCGACCTGTTGCTAATGACTGGTAAGGGATAATTAGCCGGCTCGAAGGTATGACTCCTGCTAATTTATTGGTGAATCACGGGCCTTCATATTTTTCATCATAAATGCTTATGCGCTGTTGGTCGAAAGTAAGCCACCCGATTGGCCATGAGTTCTCCGGTTGAATGTTTAGTGGTCTGTCAAGTTGTTTCGAGATCTGTGCAAGTCATTTTTGGATGTTCAATATCATTGGGTCTAAGTTCCACGCATATGGGTGTGTATTGTACAAACATAAAAGTAAAGTGCATATGATTGATTTATAAATATATTTTTATCAAAGGTTCTTCCCTCTCCCATAGAGACATATCAAAATAATTTACAAAATTTTTAATTAAATTTAATAGTTTAAATAAATTAAAATTTTAAAAATCCTACAAAATTTTTTCCGGCAGACTTCATGTAGATCAAATTATAAAAAATGGTATATATAAATATTAATCAATATCCCTCTATGTTTTTTGAATCCACATTGTGAAGAAAATTAAATAAATTAAAATTTTGTTAATAATCTCAAATATTAAAATTTGAGATTTATTTTAAGAAAGTCAGTTTAATGACAATGCACGTCCTCCACCTCCTTCCATAAAAAATCGCAGATTTATACGGTTCCAATATTTCTCATTCGGACGACTAAGATGTCGTCGGTCGATCATTCTGTCTGAATGCCAAAAACCTTTGTACTTTTTGTAGTTGTTTGGGTTTGGATGTTGTGGGTGGTCGAGAATGGCTGGTCAGTCGACCTGTTACTAATGATTGGTAAGGGATAATTGGTCGGCTCGAAGGTAGGGCTCCCGCTAATTTATTGGCGAACCATGGGCCTTCATATTTTTCATCATACATGCTTATGCGCCATCGGTCGAACGTAAGCCACCCGATTGACCATGAGTTCTCCGGTTGAATGTTTGTGAAGTTGCTTCGAGATCCGTGCAAGTCATTTTTGGACGTACAATATCATTGGACCTAAGTTCCACACATATGTGTGTGTATTGTACAAATATAAAAGTAAAGTGCATATGATTGATTTATAAATATACTTTTATCAAAGCTTGTTCTCTCTCCTATAGAGACATAACAAAATAATTTACAAAATTTTAATTAAATTTAATAGTTTAAACAAATTAAAATTTCAAAAATCCTAATTTTTTTTTTCAGGCAGACTTCATGTAGATCAAGTTATGAAAATAATATGCATAAATATTAATCAATATTCCTCCACGCTTGTGAAGAAAATCAAATAAATTAAAATCTATTTAATAATTTCAAATATTAAAACTTGAAATTTATTTTAAGAAAGTCGCTTTAACGGTAATGCACGTCCACCACCGCTTACCATAAAAAAATGTTGATTTATCTGGTTCCAATATTTCTCCTTCGGATGACTAAGATGTCGTCGATCGATCATTCCGTCTGAATGTCAAAAACCTCTGTATTTTTCATAGTTGTTTGGGTTTGATGTTGTGGGCGGTTCAGAATGGATAATCAGTCGACTTGTTGCTAATGACTGGTAAGAGATAATTGGTCGGCTCGAAGGTAGAGCTCTCGCTAATTTATTGACGAATCATGGGTCATCATATTTTTCATCATACATGCTTATGTGCTGTCGGTCTAACGTAAGACACCAGATTGACCATGACTTCTCCGGTTGAATGTTTAGTGGTCCGTTAAGTTGCTTCGAGATCCGTGCAAGTCATTTTTGGATGTACAATATCATTCGGCCTAAGTTCCACGCATATGTGAATGTATTGTACAAACATAAAAGTAAAGTGCACATGATTGATTTATAAATATACTTTTATCAAAGCTTCTTCCTTCTCCCATAAAGACATATCAAAATAATTTACAAAATTTTAATTAAATTTAATAGTTTAAACAAATTAAAATTACAAAAATCCAAAATTCAAATTTTTTTCAGACAGACTTCATGTAGATCAAATTATGAAAGTAATACACAAAAACATTAATCAGCATCTCTCTATGCTTTTTGAATCCATATAGTGAAGAAAATCAAATAAATTAAAATTTATTTAAAATTTTCAAATATTAAAATTTGAGATTTATTTTAAGAAAGCCGGTTTAACGGTAATGCACGTCCTCCACCTCTTTCCATAAAAAAACCGTTGATCCATACGATTCTAATATTTCTCCTTCGGACAACTAAGATGTCGTCGGTTGATCATTCTGTCTGAATGTCAAAAACCTTTGTATTTTTTGTAGTTGTTTGGGCTTGGATGTCATGGGTGGTCGCAAATAGATGGCTAGTCGACCTGTTGCTAATGACTGGTAAGGGATAATTGGTCGGCTCGAAGATAGGGCTCCCGGTAATTTATTGACGAATCATGAGCCTTCATATTTTTCATCATACATGCTTATGCATTGTCGGTCGAACGTAAGCCACCCGATTAGCCATGAGTTCTCCGGTTGAATGTTTAGTGGTCCGTCAAGTTGCGTCGAGATCCGTGCAAGTCATTTTTGAATATACAATATCATTGGGCCTAAGTTCCACACATATGGGTGTGTATTGTGCAAACATAAAAGTAAAGTGCACATGATTGATTTATAAATATACTTTTATCAAAGCTTCTTCCTTCTCCCATAAAGACATATCAAAATAATTTACAAAATTTTAATTAAATTTAATAGTTTAAACAAATTAAAAATTCAAAAATCCAAAATTTTCTTTTCAGGCAGACTGCATGTATATCAAATTATGAAACAATATGCATAAATATTAATCAATATCCCTCTACGTTTTTTGAATCCCATTGAGAAGAAAATCAAATAAATTAAAATTTATTTAATAATTTCAAATATTAAAACTTGAAATTTATTTTAAGAAATTTGGTTTAACGGTAATGCACGTACTCCACCTCTTTCCATAAAAAACCACTGATTTATCCGGTTCCAATATTTCTCATTCGGGCGACTAAGATGTCGTCGGTCGATCATTCTGTATGAATGCCAAAAACCTTTGTATTTTTTGTAGTTGTTTGAGTTTGGATGTTGTGGGCGGTTCAGAATGGATGACCAGTCGACTTGTTGCTAATGACTGGTAAGGGATAATTGGTTGGCTCGAAGGTAGGGCTCCCGCTAATTTATTGTTGAATCATGGGTCTTCATATTTTTCATCATACAATGCGCTGTCGGTCGAACGTAAGGCACCTGATTGACCATGACTTCTTCGGTTGAATGTTTAGTGGTACGTGAAGTTGCTTTGAGATTCGTGCAAGTCATTTTTGAATGTACAATATAATTGGGGTTAAGTTCCATGCATATGTGAATGTATTGTACAAACTTAAAAGTAAAGTGCACATGATTGATTTATAAATATACTTTTATCAAAGCTTCTTCCCTCTCCCATAGAGACATATCAAAGTAATTTACAAAATTTTAATTAAATTTAATATTTTAAACAAATAAAGTTTAAAAAATCCTATAATTTTTTTTAGACACTTTATGTAGATCAAATTATGAAAATAATACTCATAAATATTAATCAATATCCCTCTATGCTTTTTGAATCCATATTGTGAAGAAAATAAAATAAATTAAATTTATTTAATAATTTCAAATATTAAAACTTGAGATTTATTTTAAGAAAGCCGGTTTAACGGTAATGCACGTCCTCACATCTTTCCATAAAAAACCGTCGATTAATACAGTTCCAATATTACTCCTTCGGACGACTAAGATGTTGTCGGTCGATCATGCTGTTTGAATGCCAACAAACTTTATATTTTTTATAGTTGTTTGGGTTTGGTTGTTGTGGGCCGTCGGGAATGAATGACCAGTCGACCTGTTGCTAATGACTGGTAAGGGATAATTGGTCGGCTCGAAGGTAGGGTTCTCGCTATTTTATTGACGAATCACGGGTCTTCATATTTTTCATCATAAATGCTTATGCGCTGTTGGTCGAAATTAAGCCACCCGATTGGCCAGAAGTTCTTCGGTTGATTGTTTAGTGGTTCGTCAAGTTGCTTCAAGATCCGTGCAAGTCATTTTTGGATGTACAATATCATTGGACCTAAGTTCCATGCATATGGTTGTGTATTGTACAAACATAAAAATAAAGTGCACATGATTGATTTATAAAAATACTTTTATCAAAGTTTATTCTCTCTCACATAGAGACGTATCAAAATAATTTACAAAATTTTAATTAAATTTAATAGTTTAAACAAATTAAAATTACAAAAATCCAAAATTTTTTTCAAGCAGATTTCATGTAGATCAAATTATGAAATAATATGCATAAATATTAATCAATATCCCTATACGCTTTTTGAATTCACATTGTGAAGAAAATCAAATAAATTAAAATTTATTTAATAATTTTAAATATTTAAACTTGAAATTTATTTTAAGAAAGTCGGTTTAACGGTAATGCACATCCTCCACCTCTTTCCATAAAAATCCGCCGATTTATCCGGTTCCAATATTTCTCCTTCGGACGACTAAGATATCGTCGGTCGATCATTCCGTGTGAATGCCAAAAACCTTTTTATTTTTTGTAGTTTTTTGGGTTTAGAAGTTGTGAGCAGTTCGGAATAGATAACCAGTCGACTTGTTGCTAATGACTAGAAGGGATAATTGGTCGGCTCAAAGGTATGACTCTCGCTAATTTATTGACGAATCATGGGTCATCATATTTTTCATCATACATGTTTATGCGCTATCGGTCGAACGTAAGCCACCCGATTGACCATGAGTTCTCCGGTTAAATGTTTAGTTGTCCGTCAAGTTGCGTCGAGATCCGTGCAAGTTATTTTTAGATGTACAATATCATTGGGACTAAGTTCCACGCATATGAGTGTGTATTGTACAAACATAAAAATAAAGTGCACAGACATATCAAAATAATTTACAAAATTTTAAATAAATTTAATAGTTTAAACAAATTAAAATTTCAAAAATCTTAGAAATTTTTATCAAAGGTCAAATTATGAAAATAATACGCATAAATATTAATCAATATCGCTCTATATTTTTTTAATTCACATTGTGAAGAAAATAAAATAAATTAAAATTTATTTAATAATTTCAAATATTAAAACTTACTATTTATTTTACAAAAGTCCGTGATTTATTTTACAAAAGTCCGTTTAACCGTAATGCACGTCGTCCACCTTCGATAAAAAACCGCCCCATTGAAACGGTGATCGCTCTGTGTTTCTTCTCCATCTGATGAGCGAAGCAGTCCGAGCTTACAGGGACAACAATAGCGGACGCAAAGAAGTCACTGGATTACTGGAGGAAGTTCCTCGGAAGCGCAAAAACTGACATTTTTGAGTTGATGGAGAAAGCCATCGTCTTGGCGGCGGTGGATCGCCCGAATGAGTTTAAGGAGAAGAAAGATATGATTGCAGAGAAGCTCCAGAACCCCAACAATGGCGATGATGATCCCAGGAAGGAGGAGGAGGAGAAAAATAGCTATAATTGTGAGAATCCCCAAGAGATTCAGATAGATAAAGAGGTGATGAGGATAAAGCAGGTTCTTTGCAGCGGCTCTGGTTCTGATGAAGTCTTGTATGAAGCTCTGAAGACTCTGCAACTCATGGAAATGTCTGTCGAAACTCTGAAAAGGACTGAAATTGGAAGAATGGTGAATGCTCTGCGCAAACATAGCTCTGTTCACATTCGAAACCTCGTTCTGAATCTCGTTCTTGGCTGGAAACTTTTGGTGGATCAATGGTTTGAATCCACAGCTGAACAAAAAGAAGGTAGCCATTGTTGTTCTTCTGGAGCGAAGAGAAAGCAGGTGGAGGAAGTTGAACATATGTCGAAGTTGGAGATTGCGAAGAAGAAGCTTCATGATGGATACCAGAGAGCGGAAAGCGCGAAGAAGAGGCGGATGATACAAGTAATAGAGCCTGGAGATCTTCCTGTGGATTCAAGCAAACCAGGAGGAGGAAGAAGAAGAAGGCTACCAGCGTTCTGATTCAGTTCTGTCATGAAAATCTTTCAGATTTGTTCTGTTTTTGGTTGTTAGTTTTTGATGTTAGATCTTATTGTGCTTCATATATCTAGATTATATATAGAATAACAGTGATATATAGATACAGCAAGCATACTGAATTTGAACATAATGTATAGGAGGGATGATGATATTTCATCTGCATTTTTCTGGTTTTAGTGATGCATTTACTGCTCGTGCTTTTTACTCTTGAGATAATATTCCTGTTTTAGATAATATGCTTGTGTTGGTGAGGAGCTGTTAATGATCAGATTTCTAGTTTAGTTGAGGCCGGTTTGAAATCGGCTTGAATAGATTGGGTGTGGCTTGGATTCGGCTCATGGTTCGACATATTCTATTTTAAGCCGAGCTGGTTTGAAATTGAATTAAGATGAAGCTGGCTCGTAATTGAAATGTGCTGACTCCACTTGAGTTATTTGGTTCTATTTCAGCTCTGAATCAGCTCGATAGACTCAAAGTTGAAATTAATTGGCTCAAATTGAGTTATTTAGATCCATTTCAGCTTGAAATCGTGTTAAAATTGTCTTGTGACTCATTATATTCAATTTTACTCATCATTTTATATAGAACTTTTATAAATAAAAAATATTATGCGTTGATCTCGAGTTAGCTCGAACTGATCTTTGGCTCGAAATCGTCTCGAAAAAAAATTCGATCAAAAGTTTGGGCTCATAGCTCTGCTTGTTTAGTTCTATCCAGTCTTGATCAAAGCCAAGAAAATATGGATCAATTTTGAAGTGATTAAAAATCTTATAGCTGATTTTGAGTAAGTAGCACTATTTTCTGCATTTAGTGGGGAGCAGGAAGTTCAATGAGTTGCTTGAAGTTCTAGAACTGATCTTTAAACTGGGTATTTACATATAAACATCCAATTTCTATTTATTTACATATCTAACACCAAAAAATTTTTCATTAAATTTACACCAATCAAAAGTTTCATGCCACATAAAAATATCACTTATTTCACTACATTCACATCTTTTCATCACAAGGAAATGTTTTATTAAAGAAAATTGGCTTTGACTATAAAAGAACTTCAATGTAGCATTCAAATTGAGAATTTTGAAAATTAAATTTAGAATTTGATTGGGGTAAAGTGAAAAAGTTCAAGTGAAACTCATGTTTAATAAATATTTGCTCTTAATCATTATATAATTTATGGAAATGTATGGTTAAATTATTAATATTATTCTAAATACTAATGATTTAAGAATAAACCATGCTGATAGCCTGAAACCACAAAACTGCTTGTAACATGCAGCAGCTTTGCAACTAAGTGAGAATGTGTGATATCAGTGGTGATGATGATGATGATGTTTATATAATTTAATATTATGCACTCATGTTGTATCAGTAAACAATTAATACATGGAGTCATTTTGTATACTCACAAAGTTCCAAAGATTAGATGGCTTGAACATTTGATGCTCTCCTCTCTTTATGCTGGAATGGATTCGAGCTTTTCTACATTTGGTATGGCATCTTCAAATTACATTCATTCAAAGAGTTTCAAAGCTTCTTTGCAGCTTACAGATTTTGTGTACCCATTGATCATATGTCCAGGATACTACATTCTTTTCATGTATTGTGATAGCGACTTTATATATGCTTAAAAATACAAGTATTTAATACTGCTGCTAAAAGATTTAATTCTTCATCAACGACACCAAAAACTTAGTAACAATTATAAATTCGATAAAGATGTATGTATAAAATATTCAATAATGGTAAAGTCACACTTATCAACGCAAGTATACGTATCGCTCAAGTAACATAGGGCTCTAATGGAATCCTAGATATCGATAGATATCGATCCCATCGATCCCACTGTGAGCAATATTAGAAGCTACGAACTAAGATTTTAGAAAAGCAATACTCAATCGCAACAGTAGAATTCAAATTGCTTATCTGTTACTAATAGACAATTGAAATACATATGTAATTTTAATAACTATTAAATAACTAATTATACTAATAAAGTTTTTAATGTGATATTCAATATATAAGAAAACATCATTCTCCTTGTCAAGAAATTATAGTGAATCAGTTCAAATTGTATTGTGCCAAATAGGAGTCTACCTATTATTTACCCTTTGGTCCAGACATAAAGAACATTGACTAATCCTACGCTTGTTTACTGAATCTGCGGCTAGGCTGGGAGGATACCGGCTCTCACTTCGGAGCTCCCACATTCCCCTCGCCTGAGGGCTAAGACCAAATTGGGGATTTTAGTCTGTCACTCTAAAATCTCCAATTCTATGCCCGATAATTTTATTTCCCTATTTATTTGCACCCAATTTCCAAGGGCCTTGACCTCCCTGAATCTTGGATGTAATCTTCACTTTAATTGTAAAACTCAACATATTTTAACAAATCAATTAGCCAGATTGAAAGAAAGATCGAAGTGAAAAGATCATCACAATTTCTTTAACATTTTCATGGCTCAACCAATTCAAATAACCATTTCACAAATCTCAAGACAAGGAGAAAGACAGAGAAAACTACTCAGAACTCATGGGGAAGTCGCAACAAAACTCGAAATTCATATATAAAATCAAAGTCATACAAACTACAACAAGTAAATAACACTTATCTCTAATTTCTCCCAAGCAAACTCCTCGAAGTTCCTCTGAATCTCTTCCTTTCCTTATAACACACAGAATTCCTCTTCGAAGTGGCAAGGAGAAAGAAATCTCTTACTTTCCCTCCACTCTTACAATCTCTCGAAGAATTCCTCACAAAATAGGCTCTATATACACTACTGGAACTCTTGGACACTGTTCTAACCTTCCAACTCCTCAAACTCCCCTTCCATTTTAAAGTTGTAGAAGAGTTTTCCAAGGGTTACCTAAGCGTCCCTTCAAAAATCGTCCACATTCATTGCATTTGTTGAGAGAACTGCCCTTCTCACCGTCGGCGGCCTTCTAGAATATTTGATTCTGGACTCTCGGGAAAAAATCGCCGTCATCGCCGTTGGGCTCGCCCTCGGCGCCCTAGTTCAAATCTTCACATTTTGGTCTTTTTCGCTCCAAATTTGTTCCTTTTTGCATCTTTTTGCTCCAATGACCCTAATTCATCATTCCTGCAACAAAACATTAAAAATA